CATGGAGCCTGACTCAGGGCTCCATATCACGACCGCAAGACCATGACCTGAGCTGATATCAGACACTTAACCGATGGAGCCACCCAGGCACCCCCACATTTTAATATTCTTAAAACACAGTCACACTGCTTTCCATAAGATGTAGCGCATTCATGGGATCTCTCCTCTGATGGGAGATGTTAGCATTTACAAAAGTCTGAACGAAGGGAGCTTTGCCCACAACCAAGGCACCGGTGAGGTTCTTTTCCTGAATGAGTCCCCTGGTGCTCAGAGAATCTAATGTTGAGAGGTTCTTCCTGGTTGGAGTTCTCAGGGCTTTCTTCCTATAGAGTGGTTGGATGCTCTATAAGTTCTGCTAAGTCTTAGGATTTCCACATCGGTTTTCTAAAGGTTTTTAGTCTTTTTTGTAAAGTAGACCCTTGGAGAGCATTCCCCCCTAAAGTTACAGTGAGTGGATGCAGAGTTTCCAGGTTTTTTTCTGCTTTGAAGAAGCTTCTTTATCTTCTCTCCTGATCTTAAAACCTGAGAGAAGAAATGAAAGTTGAAAATGTCACCCTGTCCCCAGGGGAAAGAAAGTGAGGGCGAGAAAAGGGGTTTATTAAACCAGTAATGGGATGACAGAAAGTCCTAAGTACATCTCAAAGCTTTTTATATCAATTGAGTCCGAAGTTTTCTTTTCTTTCTCCCCTTGTATGCAGTGAACACTCACCTCATCTTGAAGCCAAATCCTTGTCTCATTTCTTTGAAATTCTGCAGTCCCTTCACCCGTGGCTCTTCTCTGTGCTCCATGGGAAGCCCAGGCCAGGCTTTGGTACTGGATATCCTGACTACAAAAAAGACAGGAAGCATGAGAGTTTGGCTCACGACTGATTGGGAGGGTGATTTCAGGACGATTTCTAGGGCAGATGGCCTCTCTGTATCCATTTCCTCTTAGGATCATTTCACCTGAAGCCTCTGTCAGCAGTATTTCAATATTAAAACAAAACCAAAACGAGGGAAACTCCTTGTGTGTTCAAGGCTGTTGTCCTCCAATCTGTGAACAAGGAGTGAATTAGTTCTGTGTTAAAATCAATGCACTAGGGTGCCTGGGTGGCTCGGTTGGTTAAGTGGCAGACTATTGATTTTGGCTCGGGATGTTATCTCATGATACGTGGGATCGAGCCCTGTGTCTGGCTCTGTGCTGACAGCGCAGGGCCTGCTCGGGATTCTCTCCCTCTGCCCCTCTCCTACTCTCTCTCTCTCTCTCTCAAAATAAATATTTAAAAAATTCAATGTACTAAATTTTTAGTTTTACGATATCTTTTGAATATTTTGATAAGAGAATTATTGAAGTTAGGACTGAAGTGTGATGTCAGTCTTCCTAAAATTCTGACTGTGTCAAACCTGAGAAACATTTTCTTATTGAGTTCAGGAGAAGAGAGAAAAAGCGGTAAAAGCAGGAATTTGGGAACTGAGTCCTGGATTCATTTCAGTTCAGAGATTTTCAAATAAAAATCGATATGTGAGCTGGGTTGGCTGGTGACTGGCAAATGCCGTCTTTACACGTTTCTTTTAGCTGAAGCCTAGAAGTGGGTTACCTTGAAGTTCACTAAAACAACTCTCTAACCGTGTTTCTGGCAGTCCAGAGACAGCTGGTGAAATCGTGCCCAGCTCAGTTCCTTGCTCTATCCTAGCACTCTTTCCCTCGCTGAGAGCCGCCTCTTCTGTGCCCCCTCCTCCCGTCCCCACCTCCCCCCCCAACAAAGTTTATTGCTCTGCAATAAAATGTGGGTTGGTAAGTAGTCATTTATGATCCACATGGAGGAGAATGTTTAAATATTAACGTTACCAAACAATATTAGCAAGTTAATGTTAATCTGAAGAAAAATGTAAATTCTAGAACACTTTGCCAAAATATAGGAAGTGGAGCAAAATGCCTTATTTTATACTTCCATGAAGAGAAGCAACACATTTCAGATTAACAAAAAAAGAAAATGCTTTTCAAATGAAATGCCGTTTAAAGTCACCGTTTTGTTTATGATTGGACTGCAAAGCTAAGACTAAGATCAAAGAGTGATTTGGTATACGTAAAAGTGCACCTGATCCATCGATCACAGAAAGCTGTGGTCTAGTCAAGTGGGACGAAACCAAAGCCAGGGTGAGTGGCAGATAGCAAGCAAAGGCTTAGGGTGGCAGAGGCCGGGAGGCCAGGGCACCCTCGGGCCAGAGGCAGGGCAAGAAGCAGTTCAGACTGCTAAGAGCTGCTTGTCTGTCGGCTCCCTCACCAACAAGCACAGACCGGAAAGTCTTAACACCGTGTGTTTCATCGTTTACCGGTTTGCAGACCACACACACAGACAACTGCCCCACTTGAGTGCAAGGGAATCTAGAAGGCCTAGGGAAGGCCTGAAAGCAGCTCCAGAGACAGAATCTAGTGCCCATGAGAGCTAAGGCCAGGATTAGTAGGGGCTCTTTATCTGAGATTCAAATGTGTTTTCTCTGTAATAGTCAGGGAGCCCCCTATCACTGAGGACAAGAAAATAGAAGCAAGTAAAATGGTTACTGGAGGGCATACTTACTGCCCTTAACTTACTTTTCACCGAAGACCTAAACTAGTGGTTCTTAATCTTTTTGGTGGTTTTGAGAACTTGATGGAAGCCATGGATTTGCTTCCTAGAACATACACATATATATGCAGTATTGTATAAAGTAACAGAAACTTCAGAAGATCTCCAAATCCATCAGTGGGACCCTCTAGAACTGTGATGGCCAAAACAGTAGCCACTAGGTGGCACTGAGCAACCCGAGCTGCGTTTCAGCATCCCCCAAGTTATACTGGACAGTGCTGCTCTATAATTTCATGGACTCTAGGTTAAGAACTCCTGCCCCAAATGACCCCCCGTAGATCTACTGGCCTGTAACCCCACTCCTAGTAACACACCAGCTATTTTCTATGTTTGAATATAGATAGGCCTCAAAAAACGGAGGAAGAATACTAACAGTAATTTTGAATAACAGTCCATCTTGCTTCAAGTCCCCATTAATAACCTAAACCTAGCAGATGATTCATTCTTCCCATCTCCAGGTATGTGTAGTTTCGCAAACATTCTCATGCCCCCACATCCTGCAATAAAAATCCAAGTGGCTTTTCTGTGACATAGGGTGAGACTTCGGGAGTTTACTGTGCATTACTAACATTCACTGAGTTCGTACTAATTGCCAGGTACCGTTCTAAGCATCCTACACGTTAGCTCATTTAATCCTCACCAAATATAAAGTGAAGATAGTCTTATCCCCTCAAAACAGATGAGGGAACTGAAGTTTGGGGGTCAGTGAGATTGAGTAACTTGTCTGAGATGACGTAGTAAATGCCAGCGAAGTGACTTTTAGGTTACAATCTGTAGTCTCCTGAAATATGTCGAAAACAGGAGAATGGCCTTAGAGGACTCTGAGGTCACGTGTCTCAGCAAGGGTTTCTGAGATGGACCTATACCGGCCTGTGTGCTGAGGCTGCTGAGGTCACATTTGCCACAAAGCGGTGGAGCCCTTTCCCTCTAGTGGAACAAGAAAAAACCGAAATACTTAGGACTCTCTCCAACCAGTCGTCCAAAGCCGGCCTCTCTGTCCCCACTTCACCCTTTTTACTATTATGGCAGCCTGAACTTTAGCGACAGACTAGCTGCGTGACCCTGGACAAGGGTGTTCGCTGACACTCGGTGCCGTTGTTACAGGGGGATGATAACAGCATCTACGTCCTACAGTTTTGAGTGCTGTTAGGGTCCAGCTCTATTAGGCAAGCGCTCGATAAAAGGTTACTGGTTGTCCCGATTCACTCCTGCGACACTCTCCGGAGCCCACGGGCCCGATTGTCGCTAGAGGGAAGGGAGGAGCTGAGCCCACTCTCCGGGTTTCCTTCCGTTCCCCGCTCGGAGTGAAGTTCACAACTTTCATCACAAGATCTAGGAGGGAGCTGAATAACGATCCCGCCCTCGAAGGGATGGACAATAAGCAGCACGTCCCGGGTCCCCAGGAGCGCTCGTGGACGCCCAGCCTCCCGGACCCTGACCGAGCAAGGGATGGCCAAACGCGCCCAGCCGCAGGGCCCCAGCAGCGCGCCGGAAGCACTGCCGCGGCGCTCCGCTCTCCGCCCCTGCTCCCGGCACCTGCCTCGGGCGCAGGCGCGGGCCGTGCAAGGGACTACATCTCCCGGCAAGCCCCGCAGCGACGCTGACCCGGGCCGGTCTACACGCTTCCCGACCACCCGGCGCCGAGAGGCGGCGGAGAGAGCCCTGGCTTGCGTGCTTCTGAGGCCGCCGGGCCAGAGGGGCTCTCTCGTGCAGCCCGAGTAACCAGAGCGGGTGGGAACTGCCTTTAAATCCGTTATGACCGGGCAGTGATTCTCAAGCTTGTCCGTGGGGGAAGAGCTTGTTAACAATTCGGGTCGTTTGTCCCCACCCGACACTGACGCGCTGGATTTCGCGTGGCTCGGGTTTTCACTTTAGTAAGCTTTCTGGGAATTCTGATCCGGTAGTCAGCCGGTCACGCCCGCCTCGGGCATGTTTTCCTCTAAACTTAGCTGCCCTGCCTCTCGTCTCCAATTGGCCGTCGCTCGCCCCGTCTCCGCAGACAGCTCTTCCCCTCTGGTTGGTCGGCGGTGAAGTCTGTGGCGAGACCTGACCCAATGGGCGCTAGAGTTCGTAGATCGTGGCCCGGAAGTTGATCCTGAGCCTGCGCCGTTGGCTGTGGACGCCTAAGCGCGCTGGGACTTCCGGCGTGAAGCCGAGCGCCTAGGCTTGCGTGAGTCGGAGACGAGAGTCAAAGCGCGGTGTTCAGCTCCTGCTCTGAGGTGGTCTTGCCGGTTCCTGGATAGGGGGCCGGCGCCACGGCGCCCGTGATCGGCTGAGGCCAAGGCACCGGAGCCGGCTGCGCCCGGGCTGAGGCTGGGCTCCGCGGGGCCCGGGAAGCCTTCTCGGGCGGGTGCAGCTGGTTTCGGGGCCGAGGTGCCCCGGGGGGGCCTGAGGATGGCGTCGGGCCCGGGCTCCCAAGACCGGGAAGGGCTCCTGATAGTGAAACTGGAGGAGGACTGCGCCTGGAGCCAGGAGCTGCCGCCGCCAGATCCGGGGCCGAGTCCTGAGGCCTCCCACTTACGCTTCAGAAGGTTCCGCTTCCAAGAGGCCGCCGGGCCCCGGGAAGCCCTCAGCCGGCTCCAGGAGCTTTGCCATGAGTGGCTCCGGCCGGAGCTGCGCACTAAGGAGCAAATCCTGGAGCTGCTGGTCCTGGAGCAGTTCCTGACCATCCTGCCCCAGGAGATCCAGAGCAGGGTGCAGGAGCTGCATCCGGAGAGCGGCGAGGAAGCGGTCACCCTTGTGGAGGGCATGCAGAGAGAGCTTGGGAGACTGAGACTTCAGGTGAGAGAGAGAGCTGTCTTCGGTTCGTTTGGCCCCGAGGACTAGGACATCGCGGCCGCCCTGTTCTCCATACCTATGGACTTGGTGCCCTGAGTAGACTTTACACGGGCAAGAGGTCTTTTTATAGTTTAGTTAGGAAGATTCATTCTCCAGGTTTTCCCCGGCAGGACAGAACCAGCAGTGAAGAATGCCCTCTTTCCACATGGAGGCAGGGGGTGTGCATTCGTGTGACCCCCCCGGAGTTAATTCGCAGGGTTCAAATCCTCACTCTGGTCTGTAGCAGTTTTGCGACTTTGGGCAAATTACTTAATTTCTTTAGGCTTCGGATTTGCCACGTAGTAAAGTGAGAATGACAAAACATCTTCCTAGGGTTGTTTTGAGGGTTCCGGGGAGAGGATCATGTAGTTTTGACCCCACTGCTGGCTAATAGTGCTTCATGGCTGTTAGCTGTTGTCAGGCTAGGTTCAGTAGCCCGGTCCCCTCTGCGGAGCTCGGTCGGGTTAACGGTAGATTGAGAAACACGGTTTGGCACTGAGGCTCCGAGGGCACTGGTCCCCGGGGTCGGTCAAGTTGAACTTACCCTGAAGTGAGGAATGGAAGCCTGTAGATACACTGGGGGCAGGGGGAGGAGGCAAGAGGGAGTCAGGTGTGTCAGAGAGCTGTGTGGGGAAGGTGTGCCCCGGGAGCGGACGTCTTCCGCTCCGATGCTCTCCAGCACTCATGGGACCAGAAAAGCGTTAAGTGGAAACCATGCTTCTCTCTTGCTGGACCCAAAGGGATCGCCGGTAGTTCTCCGTTGACGGCTTGCCCTCAGAATTCTGTACTAATCTCCCTTCCTCTCGGGCCCTGTTATGATGATGAGTGATGTGGGTTGGTTCCCAGGTCACAAACCATAGGCGGGGAACAGAAATGCTCTTGGAGGAGCCTTTGCCTCTGGAAACAGCACGAGAGTCACCGAGCTTCAAGCTGGAGCCAATGGAGACTGAGCGAAGCCCTGGCCCCAGGCTGCAGGAGCTGCTAGGCCCCAGCCCCAAAAGGGACCCCCAGGCTGTAAAGGAGAGGGGTGAGGAACAGTTACCTGGGCTGGGGGGAGGGAGGAGGGGCTTCCGGGTCGTTCCCTGACACCAGCAGGTGGAGTAGCACCGCCTAGGTGAGGGGATTTCTGACCTCAGGGTTCCCAGGCGTGGAGTCAAAGACCCAAAAATGGTGGTCTGGGTTCTTTGGGGGATGGGAGCGGGGGCGGGGGGATCTTCAAGTAAGCCCCTGTGTATGCAGAACAGAGACATTTAGAGCTTTGAACGATTGAGGGCTTGACTGCTGCAGGCCGGCGGGGAAGTTGCCTGGTGCTCTTTGCCCACCTCCGCCATTTTGGATATCGCTTTATGACGCCTCCGTTGCCGCCTTTTGCTCATTGTTCGATCCTGAGCGGAGACTGGGTGTTGGGGGACGGATACGTGTTGTAATAATCCTCGGGCTCCCGAGAATTACAGATGCCTTTCTCATCATGATTTCTGTCACCTTCAGCATTGTCTGCTCCCTGGCTTTCTCTCTTTCCTGCTGAAGGAAACATGGAAGACAAGGAAATGACGGGGCCCCAGGTGATGTGGAAGTTCTCGTTGTCTCCCCCCAGCACCCCTCCCCCCAGTTGTTCTTGTGGGGACAGGGTCTTTTTTGCCTCTTGGAGAGGATCCGTTGTCCCTCACCACGCGCCGCCTCCCCGCCTTCTTTATTTCCTCCACACCCCACTTGTGGGCCTGCACCCTCCTCCCCCATGAAGCGTGTCCTTGGCACCCTGGGTTTTGCCCCTGTAACTCATGACTCTGCTTGAATTGTTCTTGGTGCCTCAGGGGCTAAAGGAGATCTTGTGCTCTTTCAGTTGCCTGAGAGCTTAGAGGACGTGGCTATGTACATCTCCCAGGAGGAGTGGGGGCATCAGGATCCTAGTAAGAGGGCCCTCTCCAGGGACACGGTGCAGGAGAGTTATGAGAATGTGGACTCACTGGGTAAGGACTTTTTTTCCAGGCACGAAGACTCCGCCCTTTCTGACCAGGGGCCTGTCCCTTCGCCACTCACTTCCTGGACATAAGTTCTGAGTTTTGCCAGAAGACCTCCCTTTCTCTAAAGCACCCCGGATGAGGATCCGTTAAATATCTGGCGGTTGGCACAGTTGGCAAACTTACGGCCCCCAGCCGCCAGAGCCAAAGGCAGGGACTCTGAGTTTTAGTGGACTTCCCGGGGCAGAACAAATCAAATCTGCTGACAACCTCTCCCCCCCCGCCCCCAGT